TCATCTACTTTAATCTACTGTCATCTACTTTCATCTACTGTCATCTACTGTCATCTACTGTCATCTACTGTCATCTACTGTCATCTACTGTCATCTACTGTCACCTACTTTAGTACATTGTGACATATATGTAGCATAACTGCAATTAACGAAAGATTTTATTTGTGTCTGCTATGTTCTTCGTTCTTAATGTTAGTGTGTGAAGGGATCCCCTCCAACTGGATATGCGTCATTGAGACAGCTGATTCTATTTCAGCCTGCTTTTCTTTTAGGATTTGCCTCCATAACCTTTGTCCAACCGCGCAAACTACAAGGCAGCAGTTGTTTGTTTTTGGAGTTGTCTCTCTTAGAAGAATAGCTGTCGCCAGCTGTCGAGCCTTATCTTACCGATTGACGTTACTTGTTGCTATAAAATATGGTCACAGGTGCAAGAAGTGCCTGCCAGGTAGAGCTATGTATCGCTGTATTCTGGCCTACCGACGTCTTGATGTCGTAACGTTGAACTTGCTGACAAGGAAAAATGTCACAAGACGTCAAATAGCTTAACTAATGTCGCAATAGATATATTAAAAGCTGTTATTGTAAATATTGATGTAAACAGTTTGTATCAGCCCGTTTAACAAGGCTAGCAACATTCGACGTCAGCGTTTTTTCCCAGACTTTTTTCTCCGGGGGAGGGGATCACTTGAAACTTTCGGGGGTGGGGGCGGTACACTTTCTTTGAGGGGAGGGGGAGAAGATCCGCCCCACCCTAAGAGATGCCGGGGAAAAACTCTGTTCGACGTTTAACACAAACAAAAACACGGAAAGAAATGTCTAAAAAAATCGAATTTAGTGACTTATTCGAAGTTATAAAATGCTAACACTTTTAAATTATATTTTAAACGTTCAGTTTAATTTTACAGAAACATACTATCGTATTATTTGATCGTACGAGTAGACTTTTTTCAAAGAGGTTGTTAGTGAATTAATTTTAGTTCAAAGAAATCTTCCCCTTGCGTTAGTTTTCGATTGAGTAATGTTGCTATTCACGTGCCTATAATAATTATTTATAATTTCTTTATAAACTCAGAGAAATGCTATAAATGTTCATTTTACGTCAGCTGTGTTGCTCTCATCATCATTTTCCGTTCGTGCCCAAATGGGGCAGATGAAGTAGAGTTAATCTGTAAATCTGCATAGGTAGGGATTGTGTGGTCATCACTATGCCCAGCCGCCATTGCTTCCTTAACGCAAGTTAGATACCCATTAGAGCTGGGTGGACTCAGGTACGTTCCACAGATTTGAACCAGGAGATATACTCGAGACTCTCGGATTAGCAGTCTAGCTGTCTACCGCTAGGCCACGTCGCACCCATGATATCTTTTAAAGAAATAAAAAGTCACTAAAGAGAATCAGATTTCTAGCAATATGTCTCTCTCTATCTTGCCTAAACATCAAGTTTCTAGCAATATGTCTCTCTCTATCTTGTCTAAGTTTCTAGCAATATGTCTCTCTCTATCTTGCCTAAGTTTCTAGCAATATGTCTCTCTCTATCTTGCCTAAACATCAAGTTTCTAGCAATATGTCTCTCTCTATCTTTTCTAAACATCAAGTTTCTAGCAATATGTCTCTCTCTAGCTTGCCTAAACATCAAATTGTTCACGCGCAGACCGTGTGGTTCTGTTGTATGCCCCGGATCTCATGTCACTATGTCTGGCTCACGTTAGCGACGTCTTGGCCAAGATTTGTGAAGGAAACATTAAACTGCCGGAGTTTTTCATTGGACAGCTTCAAGTCCTGAGTATTTTTATTGGCCCGCTTCAAGTCCTGAGTTTTTCATTGGCCAGCTTCAAGTCCTGAGTTTTTCATTGGACAGCTTCAAGTCCTGAGTATTTTTATTGGCCCGCTTCAAGTCCTGAGTTTTTCATTGGACAGCTTCAAGTCCTGAGTTTTTCATTGGACAGCTTCAAGTCCTGAGTTTTTCATTGGACAGCTTCAAGTCCTGAGTTTTTCATTGGACAGCTTCAAGTCCTGAGTTTTTCACTGGACAGCTTCAAGTCCTGATCTAGTTGCTGTATTTTGTCCAGAAGCTTGACGTTGACAGGATGTCTAGTTGTGACGTCAGTTTCAGCCATCCAGTCGATGTTATGTCCAACAACATCTGGACATTGCACTGTACACAAGTAGTGTCCAGCCTGCAAATCTCTTGGATGGTCCCAGTGTAGTTCCAGAACAGAGTGACCAGTGGGTTGAATGGAACCGTTGGCTGTGAGACCTTCAGACGACAGGACATTGACCCGTTGATCTAGAAACGTGACAACTGAGGCCAGCTCTGTGTAGGGGCTGGAACTGTTGGCATCACGTGATACGATGATGGACAAGATGGCGGACATGTTCAGCTGGCTGGTCTGGTTGACGTCACACCTAACTGTCAACGACGTCAGACCCAGGTCTATCACACCTGGGTTGGCAGATAGAAGAACGGCACCATCTGAAACATGTAAATGCTAATTAAGCCTCAACATGTTGAATTATTTAAAATTTATTTTAAACATTAATGCAACACATTGTACTGACCTCCAAGGCAAAGTAAAGAATTAAAGTTAAAAAAACAATTCAAGTAAATATGCAATCAAGCATTTATTGTTACCCCAAGTTATAAGTAAAATATCTGGAGGGGGGAGGGGGGGGGCGGAGACTAGTTATAGTATATATCAGGGGTCTCCAAACTACGGCCCGCGGGCCGTATGCGGCCCGCGAGGTCCTCTCATCCGGCCCGCGGAGATCTTTTTGTTCACGGAAAAAAATGTTTGTTAGAAGTGGCTGAGGTACTTTGCCCACATTTAAAATGTGTTTATATTTCTATAGAAGAAACTTCACTCAGGCCCGCGAACTGATATTTGATAGTTAATGCGGCCCTCGGGCTGAAAAGTTTGGAGACCCCTGGTATATATCTTCTATATAAAGTATGTTTCGTTCTAGGAGGTGGCGGTAGCAGAGGTTCTTCCAGGCAAAAAAATTACCGACCCCCCCCCGAACAAAAGGGGATTAATATAGAAAATATATGCTTTTATAGGTGTCCCTCCCCCTCCCCTTCCGAACATTTTAAGTGCCCCAACCCCTTCAGAAAAAAGTCTGGACGAAACACTCAACGGTAGACGTTTTTCGTGTGTCATTGTTAATATATATTTTTGTTCTCAGAAATATTACCTGAATTACATCAAAGAAGGAAATATTTGAATGAAAATTAAAAATGACATGAAGTTTACGTTTGATTTAAAAACTGTTTGCAAACAAGCTCACCCCCCCCCCCCCCCCCACACCCCATCGTCCCAAAATTTGAATATCTGACTTCATTCGTTTCTTAAAGAAAGACAAACAATTAAAACGTAAAAATAAACAAATCAAATTCTCATCTGTATTGCTGAATTATACAATGTCAAAGTGAAGAAAATAGACTACTGCCTTCATGTCTGATTGAAATGTTTACCCTAGGTGTGACATTTTAAAGAAAAAAGTTACTCATCAGATACAAGCGTGTCAGTTAGCGTGTTAGTTGTTGTGTTAGTGGGTGTGTCAACGGGCCACCTATATATCGTGTGAGCAAGTTGGATACTGAAAATAAGAACAAGCGACTTAAGGGTTACAAATATCGAACTCAGCAACTAGAATATGTCGACACTTACCGCAAAAACAATATGTTTGAACTGTTCAAACATACTTTTGTATTAACTATTGGGCTTGTAAGTTGTTAAAGTAGCTTACCAAGTTCTCGCTCCGGTAGTTGCCAGCTGGCGTTTTTTTGTTTTTTTCAAACCAAATGTGAATATTTTTTATTTATTTTTTTTTTAAGTTATGAAATCTACTTTCGTTTTTGGAATAAAAAAAACTCCGACAATAAGTTGTTTTAAGTAAATTAAGTTTAAAATAACACACACACACACACACAAATATATTATATTTTATATAGATCTAGAATACAACCTGTATAATAATAATACATCTATAATCTATATAAAATATGATATTTATAGGCCTAAAAGATTTCAATCGTAAATCTGAAATCAAGCCTAATTTAATTAATAAATATATATAGCCTAGATCTAGAGTCTAGATTTCTAGATCTAGAATTCTATATCTAGATCTATGACTTAAAAAAACCCTCTTGAAAATTCCGACTTAGACAGTAACATACGACATACAGGATTTATTTTTAATTTATAGACTCAAGAGTAGTCTAGAGATCTAGATTCTAGATCTAGTTTCTTTTATTTTACAGTGTAGTTGGGTGGAATTAATTACTAAATTACTAAATAGGCTATTTACTTTAAGACAGGTAAACTAGAATATGTTCAATATCAATTTATATATAGAATCTAGATTATTCTAGATCTAGCGAAGTTTAGTGTAGTCTTGTTGTAGAACTTAAGAACTAAATCTAGAGTGTAGGCAACTGTAGTAATTTAGATCTAGAATCTAGTACTGTGTGACGTCATTTTAGGGGGTGGGGGTCTGGCTTTTTGTGACGATGTGTAGGGGGAGGGGGGGGGAGGTAAAAATCGTCAAAAAAATGCGTGACGTCATTTATAGATGACCCCCATGGAGAAGATCCACACAGAAACAGTTTAAGGAAATGGGCCTAACATTCAAACAGGTAGAGGTACCAACATGATTTTAGAGATTATGTAGATATACATATATATATATATAGGGGGAGGGGTAGAGAGAGAGAGGGTTCATCTGTAAATTGCATCACACATTTTATGATGATTTTTACCTCCCCCTCATAAAGGAGGGCAGTAAAAAGAAGAATGTATGATAGCTGGGTAATCCTAATTTATATAATCAGATTATTGTGGTAAATAAAAGTCAACATATCTAGCCTAACAAAATGCCATGAATTTAAAATATATATTATGACTTAGAGAAAGTTTGGTGAAATGGAAATATCTGCAAATTTGATTTATTGATGATGTGTAACTTGTTTATCTTATTCCTTTAGAGCTGATATTAATAAAAAGTTAATGAAATTATAGAGTTTTATCCAATTGATGTTTCTAAAGCCTTGCATGAACTTAATTTAAATATATTTAGCTGCCCAGGCAAAGAACCCAATGAATTTTCCAGAATTGGCTTGTCGTTTGACTGATGGTAACAAAGAGAATCACCCAGGATCTTCGCTGATAAGAAAATCTGAAGACATACCTTATTCTTCTATATCTAAATGTGATTTGTCTAATGAAAATATTTATTCAGTGACAATTGCTAAAGATATTTTACCATTATTTCAAACATCATCTTCTGAAATGTTGTTTTCTATCTCTAAACCTTCCACAATTTCTTCAAGTTTCAAGAGATATTTTAACATCATTGCCTACTTCCCACAGTTCTTATGTTCAAAATTTGCAATTTTCTGAGAAACAAAGTAATAATAAATTTGTACCCAGTGTTTTAGTTTCAGCTCCATTAAAATTTAATAAACCAATCAATTTCAAAATTAAATGTTTCTTATCCCATATGAAAGTAGTCTGTTTTATTTAAGAAAAATCACCTTTAAAAAAATTTAATGTTTGAATGTCAATAAATTGTTGACATGGACTGGTTTGCGGGTAAGCTTTTATACTTAGTGTACAATAAAGATTCAGTTTTGATGTCAATATAGTTGCTTCTGAAAGAATTAAACTATAAACAATAGCATTTATATTAATATCTCAATGGCAGTTCAGTATACTTTCATCATTGTTTTCAAATAACAAAACAGAACTACAGTTTTAAAATTGAAAAAAAAAATGAAAAGAATTTCATAAATGGATGGTTTTTTAATTACTTAAAACAGAAGATGCATCAATACAGCATTACAATGTATATGATTAATATTTCTTTTCATGGACAATCATCATTTAAATTCTTCATTAAAAGTTAAATTCAGCTTCCTTGTGTCTAAAAATCCACATCCATGCTGTTCCATTTACCTAGAAATTAAATAAATAATATTTTTAACAACTTTCTGTAATATGAAAAAATTAATCATTGATTAAAACAGACAGCCAATATAGCAGTTGAATTAAAATTCACCTGTTTCTGTGACATTTGCATGTAAAATTAGAGTGTTCAGAGGTATATACCCAGCCACCTTTAATTTCCCTATCTTGAGCCAGGTACTCATGAGAGCTGGTACTCATGAGACTTAGGACATCATACCAGGACTAACACCAGGGATCTGAACTCTTATCTTTTAGGATAGAAATGTGAAAGCTACTGTCTGACAGTCCCACTATCAAGCCATACATATTAATACTTACAGTATATAATCTTAGTAGCAACATATTCTTTAAGAATTAGAACACTGAATCGATTTCAAACTTGGGCTTAAGCTGAAAAATGGCTTATTATAAAAAAAAAATTCAGCTCACCTTTAGTTCAAGATCAGCACCAATAGCCACAGTAAAGTGTGAGAAAATTGCTTGCCAAGTACCTAGGGAATTTAAATATAATAAATTATTAAGTTTATCCATACATTATATTAAAATAATTATTTAACTAATATGAGATATTAATATATATATATATATATATATATATATATATATATATATATATATATATATATATATATATATATATATATATATATATATATATATATATATATATATATATATATATATATATATATATATATATTTATTTATTTATTTATTTATTTATATTTATAAAAGGTTTAATTTATTGTAAAGGTTCAGTTTTCTATCTACTTAGCTTGTCTTAAAAACTAAAATATCTGGTTTACAGTTAACCATATCTTAACTATTACAAAACTATTAGTTTCATTTTCATTACTTGTAACTAAAAAGTGTAGTCAATAGATCTAAAACTTAATTCTATTAACAGCTAACTGTAACCATACTGACTCTGACCAATTTATTAATTTTTGTACCCTGTAATTCATTAATAATTAGGCTTATACTAAAAGGCCGAAAGTTACAATTGTAGATTTTATAGTCCCTGGTCTAGACTAACAAGACTAGCTTACAAGTCTAATAGTACTAATACACATGATCTAGTTTATAAGTTTACTACTAGGCAACTTGCTAGAAGACTAGTACTTAACCAAACTTTAACTTGCTAAAAATAAAAGGGCCTAATACAATAGTAGATGGCCTTGTAATACTTTTTTTTTACTGTGCTACTTACACTGCTTTTGGTACTATTACTATGACTAACTAACTACTAACTAAACTCTATTGTAGCTTGATGGAGATCTATCATCTTGCTCTTCTAGATCTAGTAGTCTACAATACTTACAACTTAAAAAAGTAGTAGCACTACTGTAACAATTTCAAACTAAATTTAATCTATATATTACTAGATCTACTCATTGCAAGACTGTAGTCTGATAAGTCTGTAAGCCCTAAATGTATCTAGACCTAGATTCTAGTCTAATTTAGTTTCAGTCTAGTTATTAGTACCTACACTCTACAATAGTCTACAGTACTCTACACTGACTACACTCTACTACTACTCTAATCACTCTACTGGCTACTGATCTAGATCTAGTAAATAGCTAGAGTAGATCTAGTCTAGATTCTAGATATAAAAAAATTGATTTAAAATTAAAAACTGGTTAGCCTTACTAGGCATTACTAGCTCTTACTAAACTTAACTAGGGTAGGTTTTACCTAAACTAGATCTAATCTAGATCTAGATCTATCTAGATCTACTAGATTCTCTAGATCTAGATTTTAGATCTAGGGCCTACCATACTACCATCTGCAACTAGAATCTAGATCTAGATCTATTCTACTATCTCTATCTAGATCTAGATCTAGTAATACTATCTATCTAGCCATCTATCTACAAGCTACTTCTAATAAACTAATATAATAGGCAGGCTAATAGGCCTAGATCTACTTCTAAAATATTAAACAGTAATCACTGAGTAATCAGTACTAGAGTCTAGTTCAGTAATCTAGCTAGATCTAGATCTAGGTCTATTAACATTAACATTGTTGTCTAAGTTCTAGATATCTAGATCTAGATCTAGAATCTAGATTCGATTAATATTTAATAAGTAAGTCGTAGGCTGAGTGAGACTGGAAGTCATCCTCATTTTCCTGTTGTTTTAGTTTTTACCGTCATCCTTTTCTTAATATTTTTAATATTTTATCTAGATCACTAAAATACTAGATCTAGAATCTAGATCTAATATATTCTAATTCATGAACTTATACTCTTAGAACTAGATTAAAGCAATGTAGATCTTAGTTGGTAGATTCTAGGTATGGGAATCTTAAGTCTCGTAGCAAAGACTGAGTAGAGTCAGAGTAATGTCCCCTAGCTTTGGACAAACTATCAACAAAAGAAATAAAATCAATATACTTACCGCCACAAAACTTTTATATTCAAAAATGCATACACATGTGTTTGTTCCCATCCATATGAACAAAACAGCGTTGAAAGTTTTTACAGTTGTTGCATTTCTGGAATGTTTGATGATTTTGAAATCTTGAAGCGGGACCTACTAACAAATAGCCGCCATGTTTTTTGTTATCAATGGGAATCCCGTTCACAACAATTGATTTAGTTCGAAAACTTTTATCTCTCCCTGGCTAACCAGACACGAATTAACGCGAGAAAGAACGATAAACTTACAAGTTCTATATCCACGTCATGATACTTAGAACATATACTTCGCTATATTAACTATATGTCTCACCTTTAATAAGTTTGTTTGTTTAATACAAGTTCTTGCTGATCTCAAGATGAGCACTATACTAGGGTGTCAAGTGATCTCAAGATGAGCACTATACTAGCGTGTCACGTGATCTCAAGATGAGCACTATACTAGCACTTCATTATCAGCCGTTGTTACACGAGTTCATAAAGTAAAATTTCTATGTAGAGAGAAGAATTTGTTCAAAACGTGAATTTGACCATTTCGTGAGAATGAAGGGATAATGTGGTCAGCTTTATGTCCAGCTGTTACAGTTGTTCCGTTACTCTAGAGTGGACATTCTAAGGACTCGGTACAAGAAAATGTACCGGAGACTTTCATGATATAAATAGTATCTGTAAGTCTGCTATGTCGGCACTAACCATAAACAGATTCTCGCTCTGAATTATCGGCACTAACCATAAACAGATTCTGGATCTAATTTGTCGACACTAAACATAAACAGATTCTGACTCTAAATTTTCTACCTCGTTTGTTAGATCGTATTTCAGTGTATACTAGCTCGACATAATGAACCGTAGAACATACTTCGCCAGGTTCAACAGTATACCTATAAATAGCTTCACATCGTCAGTCTTACGGGTAGAAAGAAGAAATGTAGTTGGCCTTGTGTGTACCAAAACTGTTCAAAGTTTAGGATATTAGAGCATAAGTACTGCTTTAAGTATTCAATAAAAATAACTAGATCAATGACTAGCATATAAACGTTCAGTAAAAATAACTAGATCAATGACAAGCATAGAAACGTTCAGTAAAAATAACTAGATCAATGACAAGCATAGAAACGTTCAGTAAAAATAACTATATCAATGACTAGCATAGAAACGGTCACAGATGTACGTGCGTGGTACTCACTCAAGCTACAGTGTAATACCAACACGACAACATGTAATGTTAGGGCACCAAATCTACAGTGTAATACCAACACGACAACATGTAATGTTAGGACACCAAATCTGACAATGTACAGTGTAATACCATCACGACAACATGTAATGTTAGAGCACCAAATCTACAGTGTAATACCAACACGATAACATGTAATGTTAGGGCACCAAATCTGACTTAAAGATCACATTTAATTAGGGCACTTAATCTAACTTAAAGATCACATTTAATTAGGGCACTAAATCTGACTTAAAGATCACATTTAATTAGGGCACTTAATCTAACTTAAAGATCACATTTAATTAGGGCACTAAATCTGACTTAAAGATCACATTTAATTAGGGCACTTAATCTAACTTAAAGATCACATTTAATTAGGGCACTAAATCTGACTAAAAGATCACATTTAATTAGGGCAACAATTAGAGTTTTTTGATGTATCCATATTTTAATATTATTTATCGTTAGACGAAAAATAGCATAAAGTCGCACTTACATGTTTTGATTGCTATAGAAACAACACAAACGTGAGAATAAAACCATGTTGAATTCGGTAAAGCATTGTTTACGCAAAAAAACCAAACAAACCAAATTTAATTCAAATGTATGCTTTTCTACAAAAATGTACGCTACTACGTTGTTTTTTTTATCGCAATATCTTGTATGCATTTTAAATACAAAATGTTACGCAAAATAATATACAAAATAAGGGGATGACACTACATCAACACACATATATTCTAACAAACAGAACAATGTAGACATTGTAAAGGTTAATTCATGTGAAAAATTTCATGTGAGAATGGTTTACAGAACCTAAGGGATTTAAATTGTGGAAAATGTGGCAAAAATAAGAAATTGAAAAACGGTGAAGACTAGGAAATGGCACTGTAATGAAAATATTACAGAAAACGATAAAAACAGCCTCCATACAGGAAGTGTGAAGGACATCTTAGCTGGTGGTCTGTGGACCTTAATAGCTGCATTACATTTTACAGGTTTTTATTTGCCTGCTATACACTTTTTATGTTAATAAGTTATTTCAGTTATAAAGACCCATAACTACACTGTATTAGAAAAACGTTAATTCAGTTATAAAGACCCATAACTACACTGTATTAGAAAAACTTTAATTAAGTTATAAAGACCCATAACTACACTTTATTAGAAAAACTTTAATTCAGTTATAAAGACCCATAACTACACTGTATTAGAAAAACTTTAATTCAGTTATAAAGACCCATAACTACACTGTATTAGAAAAGCTTTAATTCAGTTATAAAGACCCATAACTACACTGTATTAGAAAAACTTTAATTCAGTTATAAAGACCCATAACTACACTGTATTAGGAAAACTTTAATTCAGTTATAAAGACCCATAACTACACTGTATTAGAAAAACTTTAATTCAGTTATAAAGACCCATAACTACACTGTATTAGAAAAACTTTACAAATGTAGAAAACTATTATAGCCGGGTAGTTTGAGTGATGAGGATTTAAAGTGTTTAAATTAAGTTGGTATGGCTAAGTCTACTGATTCATGATTACTTTTGAGATCTATACACATACATTGATCTAAGTCTATTGATTAATGATTACTTTTCAGATCTATACACATACATTGCTATAAAATAAGGCAAAAACAAAATAAATCATTTTTCACATACCCTGAGCGTAAAGCACATGCAACAAATTCCCATGGATATGGTGTCGTGTTGAGTGTTATAAGTCAATGTGAATTCAGCTAGGTCGGTTGTCAACCGGTGCGGCACCTTTTGGTGTCACATCCCCCCTCCCCCCTCAAAATTAGAAAACTTATGGGGTAAATATATATATATATATATATATATATATATATATATATATATATATATATATATATATAAATATATATATATATATATATATATATATATATATATATATATATATATATATATATATATATATATATATTATATTTATATGTTTATATATATAGGTATATTTTTGTGCTTTTTTTCAAGTCTCAGTTTTGTAGATTTGTATTCTCAGATTGCCCAGCCAATGTGTGGTGGCACTGACTGATTTTTCTACTTTCATCATTCGACTTTTAAAGACTGTCGCAGATTTACAATTTTAACTATTCTGAAATTTTCATACTTAATCATTCACTCCGATATTTACATATTATATACAAAAGTATAATCATAGAAATTTTGGAAGGAGGGGGAGGGGGAGTTAGTTTCCAGGAGCATGAAATCTTTGCTGGTTCTGAAAGGTAGAAAGTTATAAATTGAATGAGATTTGGGTACAATAATTAGATTGGTGGGCTATAGTATATTTCATATTGGCGAAATTTTGGCTTCAGAAGTTGGTGTGATTTTCCTAAAGAGAGAAAAAAATAAGGCTGTCATTTATACAAAATATACATGAATCACAATATATTATATGCAATCAGAGATTATTAGCATTTACACTTTCCATTTGTACCTATCATCTGCAAAACAGTCTTCTTTTTATGTATTTATTTATTTTATTTTTTTAATTTTTTTTTTGTTATTTTTTGTTTATTAAAGTTATTTATTTTAATTGTTAACAGAAACAAAAACTTAGAAAGTATGTAAATTCAGAACAAAATGATAAGTTAGTTAAGTTTGTATTTAAAGAACTAGACATAAGATCAGTAAAATTGAAAGTATTTAACAATATATAATATCAAGGCAAAAGAAAAAGGTTTTATAACTCCATCCCCCTAACAACTATGGTAATAATTCGGTTGCTTCCCCTGCCCGTTTCATTTAAAAATAATCCAAATACTAGATAAAAAAGTAATAATTAATAGTTGCGAAATTTAAGACAAGAGTTTTGAGTAAGTTTAGAAGGGAAAGAAATACCTGGAAACTGTTAGAAAAGGTCATAGACCGTAATAATGAAAATTAGGATGACTACGATGAAAGGTAATGTAAATATTTTAGTGCGATAGAAATAAAGGTATGCAACTCAATTTCCCTAATATATGCAGTATTTATTTGGTAACCTCCCTTTCCTAAGATTCACTATTATGTTTAGTAGATATTTACCGAGATATTACATAAAACAAAACATTGATTTAAGGTAGTAACAAAATGTTAAACAAATAAATCAGTTTAGTGTAGAAAGAAAACCATTGAAATTGTTAGCATAGATTGTAAAACCCAATTTCTGAAAAATAAAGTGGTTAAAATTAGTGTTGGCAGTGTTAGATAAAATAGGGGTAAATAACTGCAGCCAACCTATTCATCTTACAATGAAACTTGATTGTTTCCCCTGCAGATGAAGAAAGAAAGAGAGAAATGTATTTCTCATATGGGTTGCTTAATAGCCAGAGAGTCAAAATATTTAAAATCATCAAAATCATAAACAAGTTCAGGATTTACCCTTCTCCCTAACTCAAGACTGGCTAGTGTAGGAATGAGATGTCGAGATTTGTGAGCGATCTGCTATATTCCTGTCAGGTGATGAGGTCCGTCCCCAGTCTTTGTCTCAGTACTGCTTTAAAAATAGAGTCCACGTCTGTGTCAGCGTAAACTTTTCGGTCGAACTTTGTCTTGTTACGGGTTGTCCAAACAGTATGTCTAAAAATAGCTGTCGCAGTCAAAATGTTTTCCTCCGTCCTTCTATCTTTTGATTTGATGATGTTGTTAAGGGTGATTGCTTTGTTAACCACCTGTTTATGATTTGTCTTGAGAATCCTACCTAAAGTTTGTTTTGCTAAATGTATTATTTTGCACTCTAAATAAATGTGTATTTCTGTTTCTTGTATATTTTGTCTGCACATTTGGCAGGTGATATTTATGTTGGTGTTAGCTTTAGTGTTTGTTGAGATGGGTGTTGTATTGTATATAAGTCTGTATCGTATTTCTTTCTCTTTACGTGTAATGTGTTTTCCGTGCAAGTTCCTAAAGATGTCGCTAATGTCTATGGTGTTGTACTCTCTGGCCAACTTAACTCTATTGTATAAAGGTTCTAATTGTTGTTTGACCAGAGTGTCGTAAATTTTCATTGAGCTTTCTCCCATAATGTTTTTGTTTGTTTTAAAGATCGCTAAAGTGTTTGTATAAAATGTGCCTAAATCTGTCCCCCCCCCCCCCCCCCCCCCGTAATGTGGTGTAGCGTTTGTTTGTTTTAATATGGTGTTGATTCTTTGTCCTATGTAGTATTGTGCAAGTGGGTGATAGTGTGGCTCTATCCTAATTCTGTCCAAATGTTTGAGTCGGAAGGTGTTAATTTTTGTACTTAAATCATGTAGTCCTATCCCCCCATTAGTTTTCCTTCGTATTAGTGTTTGGTGGTTGATGTTTCTAATGGTGGTTTTGAAGATAAATTCCCTAATGTGCTTGTTGGTTAGCTTTATATTTATATATATATATATATATATATATATATATATATATATATATATATATATATATATATATATATATATAATTTATTTATATAATACACTTAGTGTCAGCCCCCCCCCCTTTTCAATATCAAATTAACCATTTTTCTTCTATATATTTTGCAAAGCTTTAGTCTTGGTGTTACCTGGTGTGATAACAATTGTATATCTGACTTTGTGTTATAATAATTAGATATCTGACTTTGTGTGACATAAAAAAAAATTACATGGACACTATTTTAAATTATTTAAAGGTACATTATTCATGTTTCTTAAAGATATTTTCTATTTTAATTGTTACTTCTCTTTGACAGCTATTGGCATTGTTTTACCCCACCTACTCGTTGGTTCAAGCTTTTGTCTGTTTACAACAGACACGACATAAAAAAAAATTGTTTTTGTTTCATATGTTTAATGGTTTTTCATATGTCAATATGTTGATATAATTTTCTTTATAGACCAAAATAGCAGAAAGACTTTTCTAGAAGTTCAGGTTGCTATTGATGTGATAATTAACTCATATTCAATTCACTAATACATTTTATAGATCCAAACTTTTGCGACAATATTGAGAATCGCTAGATCCAAACTTTAGCGTCAACATTTAGAGTAAAATTTAAAGTTCCCTTTCAAACGTGACGGTCTACGGGGAAGATGAATTATAGTTCACTTGTTTTTGTGACCACGGCATATGAAGAGATAGCGTGGTCAGTAATATGACCAGCCGCCTTTACTTTTCCTAACGTGAGTCATGTACCCATCAGAGCTGGGTGGACTCAGGGACATTCTACTGACCATGTTCGAACTCGAGGCTTACGGGATAGCAGTCCAGCTCACTACCGCTAGGCCACTCCGTCCCTTTAATATTCGGAGTCGATAGATCCAAACTTTAGCGTCAATATTGTCGCTAGATCCCAACTTTAGCGTCAATATTGAGAGTCGCTAGATCCAAACTTTAGCGTCAATATGGAGATTCGCTAGATCCAAACTTTAGCGACAATATTGAGAGTCGCTAGATCCTACCTTTAGCGACAATATTGAGAGTCGCTAGATCCAAACTTTAGCGTCAATATTGTCGCTAGATCCCAACTTTAGCGTCAATATTGAGAGTCGCTAGATCCAAACTTTAGCGTCAATATTGAGAGTTGCTAGATCCAAACTTTAGCGTCAATATTGAGAGTCGCTAGATCCAAACTTTAGCGACAATATTGAGTCGCTAGAACCATAGTTTAGCGTCAATATTGAGAGTCGCTAGATCCTAATTTTAGCGACAATATTGATTTGCTAGATCCTAACTTTAGCGTCAATATTGAGAGTCACTAGATCCAAACTTTAGCATCAATATTGAGAGTCATTACATCCAAAGTTCAAACAAACAAAAATGAGAAAGAAAACAAGTTGCTTTAAAACTTTATTTACGTTTATATTTACGAGAAATTTGTGACATTTTTTTTCTCCACCCCCAATCAAACAATTAAAAACTTTTTCTCTGATAAAAATAATGAGAGAATTAATTAAAATTTTAATTAAGCTCTTACAATAATGTCAAGAAATATTTTAACAGCAGACATCCAACAGACGCCATGTTTGTTTACATGCTAGAAAAGACAGACATCCAACAGGCGCCATGTTTGTTTACATTCTAGAAAAGGCAGACATCCAACAGACGCCATGTTTACATTCTATACAAGAGCAGACAACTACAAGTCTCTGTCCATCATCAGCCCAACCTGAGCCCACTATAATTTAATCCACCAGAGTAAGCTCCACCGTGGGGATGGTAAAACCTGCCCCACCCCAGTCTGTAGACAGTAGCCCCACTGCTACCTGGGCAGGTACACGTTGTGTACGTGTACCTGGTCATCTCACCATGCTCCCTCACCCCCTGTCTGTCAACCCAGTGACCTACAGAGACCTGCTTAGAACAGCCATGAGGATGTGACACTATAATGGTCAGCTTGTCCACATCTCTACGACTCTTGTATTTGTCCTTTACTTTATCACATAGATCATCATACCGCCTCACCATCTCCTTCAGTTTATCAACTACATCTACGTCATGTGACACACAAAACAACACACACCAGTCTCTCTCAGTGTTTGAACAATCCACCTTCCACACATAAATGTTGCCCACTGGACTTTTGTCATCATCAAACCACAACCTACAGCTGGACTGTCTCGCCTCTCTATCATCAAAAACCACATGTTTGGCTGTAAACACATTAACCTCCCACCACACTTTGCTGGGTGTGTCCGAGTGGTCACATTTAGGACATGGACACGTTCGGTAGTCCAACTTTCCCTCTGTGTACTTGGTCACCCACCTCACCCTCCCAGTGCCTGTATGCAGTGAGTTGTGTCCCCTGGTGTTGTAGCAAGGATATGGATCTTTAGTGCCTGGTATAAACTCTGGTCTCTTTGGACTGGTCAACTTAACGGCTATCCTGACTGTTAGGTCAGCCAGGGCTTTTGTGAGGTCATACACATCATTGTCATGGTAACCAGAAGGAAAATGTTCAAGACTTAACTGATTTACAGGTACAAAGTTTTTATGGCCAGGATTTTTCTCACAGTTTGCCAGGTGTGTGTGTAGATCTACCTCACCTTGACCTTGAAGACATTCTTGTACTTCATGTGTACCTATACAAGTAAACAAAACAATTTTATTACTGTAAACATTTCATTAGCTGTTGAACTTTGACAAACGTGAAAAACTATCTTCAACCATCTCAACCATCACCATCTTAAGATACTCACCCAGTCAACATTTCAAACTACAGAATGTTCAAACATAAGGACTTCATTAGCACAAAACATAGTAAGCATACAGGAAATTACCTTTTTTAAGACACATTTTCTCCAAACAGATGTTTCCTTCACTGGCCATTCTGTTGTGGTCATCTAGACTATCCTCTCCACTGGCCATACTGTTGTGGTCATCTAGACTATCCTCTCCACTGGCCATACTGTTGTGGTCATCTAGACTATCCTCTCCACTGGCCATTCTGTTGTGGTCATCTAGACTATCCTCTCCACTGGCCATACTGTTGTGGTCATCTAGACTATCCTCTCCACTGGCCATACTGTTGTGGTCATCTAGAGTATCCTCTCCACTGGCCATACTGTTGTGGTCATTTAGACTATCCAAGTTGATTCCTGTTAAATAAACCACAACACAAAGATTTGACACATTGTCTACATCAGCACTAAACTATGGCTGTACACTTGATTAAGTTAAAAGATAATTAACAAACTTACCTGTAACTTGATGTAACAGATCTCTACTCGCCTTTACTGTAGTCTTATGGTCATCTGTGGCAGCTGTTTGATTGAAATAACCTTGACCTTTACATCACATTCAGCAGCCAACAGACACTCTGTATAGTTAAAAATATTTTGACTTTTTAAAGAAGGAAGTTTATATGGTAGCTTGACTAGTCATCAACCAGTGTTTCTTTACAAACTACATAACAATAGCCACTGGTCAATAATATGGGAAACAGAATACAGTATGATGGTCAGCTTTAGACGATTATGGTTAAATACATTCTTAGACCAACATGTAAGATAGAGTGAAACTGACCTTTGAACTCCCCACTTGACTTTAACATTAGACAGCACACACCACTATGGAAGATCCTTCAGGCTCTGGAGAGAGAAATAAAATTATAATGGAACTGTCATTAGCATAGAACTACAGAATGACAACATTTGTGATGGAACTGTGATTAGCATAGAATTACAGAATGCCAACATTTATGATGGAACTGTCATTAGCATAGAACTACAGAATGACAATATTTATGATGGAACTGTCATTAGCATAGAGCTACAGAATGAAAACATTTATGGTGGATTATGAAAAATTAAAGAACACAACATGTTTCTTAAAAAAGGTTTTTGCTGAAGACATTACTGAGAATAGTTTTTAGTTTCTTGGTAATTTTAAATGAAGTCTTTTATAAAAATATACGACGGAGAATAATAACTTATGTAATAAAAGCATTTATTGTGACTGGGGAGTGAGGTATAGATTAAGAGAGCAGTGCCATTCTTATTGTGTTATATTTTTATAAAAAAAATATGATTTAAGATTAGCTTTTAGGTTCATATTTGCTATGTTGGTCATAGAGACATAGATCAACTGATCAATTATCATTATGCACTGTTATTAAATATATGCTATAGCTATATTAATAGACCTAGTAATTTTTAAATAAATAATATTAATTATGCATCAGTTTAGTAAAAAACTTTAGTTAGTAGTTCATATTGCTCTTCAGCTGTCAATTACCATTTAAAATTCGCATAGAATAAATTTAATATCAGGTGAAATAGGATGTTCTTTTTAATAAAAATAATTTTAATTCCCAGTTTCCATCATACATTTCCCAATTTTTTTTCTAAGCAAAAATCTAAGGGACATATTTTTTTTCTTATTTTCAGATATGCCATTAATCATGTCACAAATGATTAAAAAATTAACAAACGTATTATACGTAACCCTTTCATAAAAAACTGGAAAAAATAAAATTTTGATCTGATGAGTTCAAACCAGCACAGCAGTCACCCACATTTCCACTTGACCACACACCTTCCTACTTAAATTAATGTTTTTATAATTAAATATATAAAAAAAAAACAGTCACAACTGTGAATAGCCCCAATACGGCTATTGAGGCCGCTATTCTCAGTCGACTGGGAATACACACTTGGTTTTTTATTTTATTTTTTATGTTAGCTTTCGATAGCCAGGACAGTTTAAACTTTTATTGCCATAAACAACTTTAAAGAAGCCAAAAAAAGTTTAGTAGACTAGTAGTTCTCCAATATCACTATCAAGTATCAGAGGGTGTAACGTGAAATAAGAAGTGGCGTTTGAGTATGGGAAATGGAACAGTCAATTCGTTACGGGCCACGCTCTGCGAGTCGCGTGATCACTTCGAAAAAAAAACATTTTATGGGGGAGGGGGGAGAGCGGACACTGGTAAAAGTAAAAATGTTCTCTACATAAATTCTACTTCCCTCAGGGAGGGGGTGGGGGATGATGGCGGTAGACAAGTAGCGTAGCGAGGGGGCGGGGGCGGGGGGGGGGGGACATATGTCCCCGGGCGCCGACCTTAGGGGGGCGCCAAATTGAAAGTTTGAGGGGAAAGGGGTGCAATATGATTATGGACATTAAACTTATCATACAGAATGTGTAAGATTTATTTTTTTATTTGCTTCCATAGCCTAAGGCTGTTGTGGGCCTAATTGTATGAATTTGGAGTTGTCTCCCCTAGATTGTTTACTTTCCGCAGTAACGCCTACGGTTTAAACAAAATGTGTTGTTCCAGATTACTTAAATTACTGAAAACTAAATGTATTTACCTTTAATTTGATACCAATTTTAATTATCAAAATTATTCGTTAGCCTAGAAAAAGATATGTAACAAAAATGCGTGGATTTTAAATGGTCACAATGATATGACGGATACGGTAGGTTAATTTTAAAGGTGTGTTGTTGTGAGGCGATTCAATGTACAGTAGAAATGTGTCGTCTACTAGATTTCTTCCCATCCAAATACAAAAATGGATGGGCTTAGTTAGCTGTTATCTCGATAAAGTTATTTTTTAGAGTTTTTTTTTAAACTGCATATTTTTTTTTAAATTAATGAAAATAATTTAGTTGGACGTAATATATAATTTTCTATAGTTCTGAGTAATCTTGAGAATTTTTATAACCATGAATCTCTGACTAGCCTGACCAACGAATCTCTGACTAGCCTGTCTTTATATCAATGTCCCCTCCCCATAGAAATCCCCATGGGACAATGGGCCCTGTTATGATGCATGTTCTAAGTGTAGATCGGTGCTGGTGAATGTTGGTGGGAAAGGTATGTTGAACGTATGGAATGATGACGCGTTTAGTGCGACAGTGACATTTTTGTGTAGAGACTGGTTGCTGCGTACTGTGTGTGAGGCAGTCTTCTCTTGATATTCGAGGCAAAAGGGTGTACGTGAGTTAAGTATGATAATAAATCTAAAAACACGAAATCTGCGTTCATCTCATTAATTGGTCGTCACTTGTATTGTCTCGGTGAGCAAGTGCATGAAGCCTGTCTGTGGATACAACTCCCTATACATGGTAGTGCAACGTAATATAGCGGTATGGAATCGGATTAAGTGAAACCCTCTCACTCAGCGTAACGGGCCCAGCATTGGGAATTAACAAATTTTCGCCCCCCCCCCCGCACTAACAATCCTGGTCACTGGTCAGCATACAGGATACTTTTGTCATGTCCAGGCTGTCTGTTTTCCGCTCACTATGTTGGAGCATACAGTACAATAGTTCTGATGAATTATAATCATTGTATTTTTATAATTTAAATCACAAATTTAGATCTGGATAATTTATGTGGAAATCGAAAAACTCATTCTGAATATTTTTTTAAATCTAAATAAATTACCGGTAGTCTCAACTAAAAGTGAATTTGTGATTATAAAAAATACGTGACTAGCACATTAAAAAAAAAGTATAATTAAGTAACATTTTCTAATTGGTAAAATTTAATGTCCTGTTGTTCCTGATTTTATCCCGTGTATGCTATTAAAAAATCATTTATAATCACTTAAATAGTAGTCTGTGTATATACATGTTTATTTGTCTTTGTTGTAACATGAACTTTTAAGTGTTTTAATATGTATTTTATACTAATTAGGCGTCATCCATAAATCAAGTCACGCCTTTTGACGATTTTTACCTCCCCCCCCCCCTCGCCTCCGTCACACGTCGTCACAAAAAGGAAGACCCCCTCTAAAATGACGTCACACCACAGCCTACAACCCCCCTCAAAATTGCAATTAAATTTTTTAAACATCGATATTTTTCTAAAATTTTGTCTGAACTCTGTCAAAATAGAGTATTTTAATCAATTCCTATTACAGTTGATTAAAACAGTTTTCTAAAACGCAAAATAACGTCTACAATTCGTTTTCTAACTTTGCTTTTTTATAATGCAAAAGTGTGACGTCGCACCATCTGAACCCCCTCCCCCTCATCACACACCATCACAAACTTACGGACCCCCCTCCCCCCAACGAATGTGACGTCATTTATGAACGACCCCTTATATATATCATCACATTGTATTTACTTCTTATTAAAGATTAAAAGAATAATTTTCGCCAGTTTTGTCAATTTGGCAAGTCTGACCTTTAGATCGCATCGTCGTTTACTTTTATAACCTAGCATCGATTCTTAATTTCTTATACTACGTAATGAAAATAAACTTAGAATATATAAGCTATTTTTACAAATTATTGTTATTGCGGATATATATTCTTGAATTTATGTTTTATTAAATGAGAACGTTATTTAAAGTAAAATTGTTTTCTGTTTATGTAAATTTTGCACATCCTACAAATGGCGGGAAAAATATTAATAACCGTATCGATATTTTAAGAGTATCGACTTCAAATCGTCAACAATTGTTTTGTCTAAATACCGATACATTTAATATCACGTTTTTTTTTTGTTACAAAATTTAAATTATCCTTTTGTGCAACTATAATAATTAATTGTATTAAACAAAGTACCGTTTATCAAAAGATAATGATAAAAGGTTAATCAATTCTAATGCGGCTATCATTGGAGGTGATCGATTGATTTACTGTCAATTTTATTCAGAGAAATTATTTGATTTAATTAAACTAAAAAAAATATCGTGGCTAACCTATTAACCAATAATTTTAAAATAATTACCGATCAAAATATAAAATCAACAAAAGCCTAATTAATTACCTAATTAAGTCGTGCGAGTTGAAATTGAATCCCAAACAGTGCACACACCAGTTGTGTAAGGAAGTGTTATGTGACGTGAACAAGAGGTCACCTGAGTTATATACCGGACACGGGGTTTTATTTCTTTACACGTCACGCTTGAGTGGTTTTAAAAGATCAGATTTGAAAGAATCACTGGTATCTACTGGAGACGGGTGTAAATATTTTGTTTGAATTTAACATGAGCTTTTCACACAGTACTGTTATTCTTTGTAGTCACATTTAAGGTAGGATATACACATGGACACCTGTAGACATGGACACCTGTAGACATGGACACCTGTAGACATGGACACCTGTAGACATGGACACCTGTAGTCATGGACACCTGTAGACATGGACACCTGTAGACATGAACACCTGTAGACATGGACACCTGTAGACATGGACACCTGTAGACATGATCAACTGTAGACATGGACACCTGTAGACATGGACACCTGTAGACATGGACACCTGTAGACATGGACACCTGTATCCATGGACACCTGTAGACATGGGCACCTGTAGACATGGGCACCTGTAGAACGGGATACCTGTAGACATGGACACCTGTAGACATGGACACCTGTAGACATGGACACCTGTAGACATGGACACCTGTAGACATGGACACCTGTCGACATGGACACCTGTCGACATGGACACCTGTCGACATGGACACCTGTCGACATGGACACCTGTAGACATGGACACCTGTAGACATGGACACCTGTAGACATGGACACCTGTAGACATGGACACCTGTAGACATGGACACCTGTAGACATGGACACCTGTAGACATGGACACCTGTAGACATGGACACCTGTAGACATGGACACCTGTAGACATGGACACCTGTTGACATGGACACCTGTTGACATGGACACCTGTTGACATGGACACCTGTAGACCGGGACACCTGTAGACATGGACACCTGTTGACATGGACACCTGTTGACATGGACACCTGTAGACCGGGACACCTGTAGACATGGACACCTGTAGACATGGACACCTGTAGACATGGACACCTGTCGACATGGACACCTGTCGACATGGACACCTGTCGACATGGACACCTGTAGACATGGACACCTGTAGACATGGACACCTGTAGACATGGACACCTGTAGACATGGACACCTGTAGACATGGACACCTGTAGACATGGACACCTGTAGACATGGACACCTGTAGACATGGACACCTGTAGACATGGACACCTGTTGACATGGACACCTGTTGACATGGACACCTGTTGACATGGACACCTGTAGACCGGGACACCTGTAGACATGGACACCTGTTGACATGGACACCTGTTGACATGGACACCTGTAGACCGGGACACCTGTAGACATGGACACCTGTAGACATGGACACCTGTAGACATGGACACCTGTAGACATGGACACCTGTAGACATGGACACCTGTAGACATGGACACCTGTAGACATGGACACCTGTAGACATGGACACCTGTAGACATGGACACCTGTAGACATGGACACCTGTAGACATGGACACCTGTAGACATGGACACCTGTAGACATGGACACCTGTAGACATCGATACATGTAAACCTGGACACTCCTGCATTGTGTCAATGATTACAAATGTTGCAATAGTATTAAAAAGTTTATAGATTAAGCATATGATTAGACAACTTGAGATAGAATTAGTGAAAAACAGAGATGTTGTTTTAGTTGAGTATTGAGTCACATGTAAGAAGTAATCATTTTATTTAAACGGCTAGGTCGTTGTACAAATATTGGTAAACACATTTTTGGAAGAATTCCAAAAACTTTAAGCTTAAAACTTTATCATTTAACGTCAGCCTTATATTTAAATATATTTGTCAAAGATCCCCCGACATGAACAAAATGGTGAATACAGCACCAACACGACCCGTGTTTTGTATGTGTGGTTTTACACGGCCGTCTGTAGGTTATTTTTAACACGTTTTTCTTAACTCAGCTTCGCGTGTGTTTGTTTGTTGTTAAAATTGACATCGAAAATTAGCCCACTTCTGATTGCTCTATAGATCTGAAATTCGGCATGCAGGCTACTTTCGCCTAACAATTTCAGACGCAATCATAAAAACTAGCAATTAGAGACCGTAATTAGCTTAATTTAATTACGCCCCAATGACCATAAAATTGAGGACATGATTTCTAAAGATACCGACAAGACTGGAGGCCTATGGACACAGTTACTTCGGCCCCAATCGATGTGAGCGCGCTGGCCGTGATCGTATAGTGGTTAGTACTTCGCGTTGTGGCCGCGACAACCCAGGTTCGAATCCTGGTCGCTCAAGATTTTTAGCCCGTGTAGTCAAGTCATACTTCATCAAGTCATTAGATAAAGTAGAAAATAAACTATATAAAAAACTTTTTTAAAAACCACGTTTTTCATGTGTAGCAACGGACTAAAAAGGAGAAAATAAAATACTTAAAAAAAACTTTAAAAAAAAACACGTTTTTCTTGTGGACTAAAAAGTAGAAAATAAATATTTCTTTTGTGCTTCCTCGAGCTGTGCAGATTCTTGTGATGACTGACAAAAAACATGGGTCGGGAAATTTGATGGTGAACGTACCCACGTTTTTTGTCAGTCATCACAAGAATCTGCACAGCTCGAGGAAGCACAAAAGAAATATTTATTTTCTACTTTTTAGTCCACAAGAAAAACGTGTTTTTTTAAAAAGTTTTTTTTAAGTATTTTATTGCCATATTGATTTATCGATTGTATTGTGAGCGCTACGGTGGTGTTAGATTATTAATTTTATAATTTTTGGCTAAGGTCAAATGTTTTTAAACAGTCAACAGTCATTCAGTTGGTGACGTTATGAATTGTGTTCCTTCTTATTTGGCAAGTCGGTCAAAGACTATGAATCAAGAAAACATGAAATGTGAAATGGTTTCTCGCGTTTTTTTCCGTTTATACTTTTAATTTGGAATGAAATCCTTTTTACAGCTTAGTCATTCGTTAGTATGCTTAATTATAATTATTCTTAAGAGAAGAATTCTAAGTTTTTTCGTCTAGTAAAAAAAACCCAACTATTTTAATTAGTTTTATCGACACCCGATTCGATTTTATAAAGGAGAGATTAAGTCATGAACGTGTTTTAAATATTTGCCTATTTTTCATTCTACAACTTATGTATCTTTTTTCTCCACGCAACAGTGTGTTTCAGTTACCTTAGGACAATCACTGCTGCAATCGATTTGTTTTGTGTTTACAAAATCACTAGTCTATTAAGGGGCAAAAAATTTAAGTTTTATGTCGGACTTTGTTCAACCCACCCCCCCCCCCCCACCCCCAACAGCCTGCGTTAAGCGACGTCCCAAATAGGGCGCAAACTTAATATGTAATAATATAAACAGCTCATTACTGAATCATATACTATCGAAATAAAGAAAGTGGAATGCAACCCGGCATTACAGACTGGTTTGATTGTTTTCTACACCAATTGTGTGACACCAAAATAAAAAGGAAAAAATGACTGTTAAAAAAAGCGCCACAACCTTATCAAATAAGGGAGGTGGGAGCGCATTTACACCAACGCGAATACTTATATATAGTTCTAATTTGAAGATGGGGTGCAAAATTGATAGTTCGTGCTGGACACCTAAATAGATCGCTTAGCCTGAAAATATAGTTAATGTAATCTAATCAAAGTTATAAATTATTAGGTACTTTTTAATATTGGAGATTTCATATTTTTGCGCCCCTTAAGGACAGCGCCCTAGGCGACTGCCTAGTTCGCCTTATAGGTAGCCCCATTTCTGATTACATAAAGGAAGATATATATATATATATATATATATATATATATATATATATATATATATATATATATATATATATATATATATATATACATGTATATATATATATATGTTACGGTCAAAGCCCGAAGTCGGCCAATACGCGGATTGGCCAATATCGCCTCCCATTGACCGGTCAAAGTCTGAAACGTTGCTTGATTTCGGGCTTTAGCCGGCCAATCAGCGGACTGGCCATGGTGGACCGGCCAAAGTCTTAATTAGAAGATCATCTGGCTAGGGACGACCGGCCAAAGTCCGAATTAGAAGATCATGAGCAGATTTTTTTTATGCCGTAAGGATCATGAAATTAAGTCTTAATTGATTATTAATTAAAGTACATGACAGAAACATTCACCTTTTTTATTGTACTATAGTCTCAATAAATCAATGTTATCATTTGTTACAACAAGTTGAACTTTTATGGCATTTAGAATTACATAGTAGCTTGTTATTTTTACACTTTGCAGCAGTTTGTTGTGCACTTAGTTGTGCAATTGCAGCGAGTGTAGCCTTGGCCCCCAGTCAATGATTGTGAAGATGCGATGGTTCGTAGTGATTTTTCCTCAGTGTCAACTGACGATAATAAGAGCAGTTTTTCGTGAAGAATTGAAAACTCACTTCTAGCATTCAGTTGTTTAGAACACCATGTTCCGTTCCTAATTTGTAGAAACCGCAGACATACAACTAAGATTTTCCTGTCAAACACACTAATATCACAACAAGAGATTTGAAAACCTAAAGGCGGTAATTGAAGCACCAGTGACAGTTATTGAAAGCATTGCACTAATCGTCACGCTCCAGTGAACTATGGAAGACCTCTGCTTACGTTAGCTCGATATTGACCCTAAGGAAATGAAAACAAACCCAAAAAAAAGTCCACTCACAAATATTACAGAGCTGCGCTATTTCTAAAAATCAAAATTTTATTCAATTCATAAATGCATTTTAATCAGATATTTGCTTGTTTTAGTGTGAATATTTAGGGTAGGTTGTGAAATATGTGAAGGTTTTGGTAGGTTGTGATATGTGTGAAGGTCTGGGGTAGGTTGTGATATTTTTGAAGGTTTGTGGTAGGTTGTGATTTGTGTGAAGATCCAAATTAATTAAACAAGCTTGTTATTAATGTAAATTTTACTTTAGATACATAATTAAATAGAGTATAACATTAGTCTAAGCTTAGACACGTTCAGATATAACTAGCCAATACCAGTGACACTTTATAAGTAGGATAT